CCACGACGCCGGGCCACCTCTAACCTTCCTCAGAGGTGCGGGTTCCGCGTGGGGAGCCCGCCGGTACCGCCAGATTCGGAGGAGCTCGCCCACGGTGAGCACCGGCCGGCGAAGCCTATCCTCGCTTCGGTCGCCGAATTGGTGGTCAAGGGGCCCAAATGCATGCAATGACAGAGGGAAACCCCAGGTGCACAAAGACCGGGTGCACCCAACGCTTGCATGCGCTGGGTTTTTCGTTTTAAGGAAATGGGTTTTGAGAAATGGTTTAAAATTTGATTCAAATGCTTAGTAAATGTATATATCAAGTTGTGTTGCTCCAAAACGTATGAAACAAATTTTGTTATGCTTCTTGTGACTAGATCTATCTGTTAAAAATATTGCATGTCAAATTTGTGATAATTTTCTGTGTAGCTTTATTTAAAGTGAATAAATGCTGATTTACGAGAAAATGTCTAGTAAATGAAATATACCTCAGAAAAAATATGCTTCCAGTTTTGTTAGTTTCCTTGAGTGATGTACTTTCTGTGAAAATGTATGCCATGCATGTGCTGTGGGAAAATTTTGAGGTGTAGTTCAAGTACCTTAAATGGTCGATTTTTGTTATTTTTGCTAGAGAGCAAAATTTGTATAAAACATGCATGTGGTAATTTTTGTATAGTGATTATTTACTGTTTAGAATCTAGGAAAAATACTCAATTTGTTGTTTGACACTTTTCATAGTACAAAGTATTTTCATGCTCATTTTTATGCCATAGCTTGTCATTTTTGTGTAGGATAGTTTACTTACCCAAATGCCATGAAATTTTTATGGTAGTCTACTTAGAGTAGTACTATGCTACTGTAATTTTCTTAGATTTTATAAGCACCAGAAATATAGGTTGTTGTTGTAGCCTTAGTTTAAAAAAGAAATAAAATAATCCTCTTTAATGCAAGATTGTTTAATAATAATAGCTTTGGTGTATCTTTGAAGCATTTGATAAGATGTGTTGACTTAAACATATTAGTAGTAGAAGAGAATGCAGTAGATGACATGTGCTTGTAGTATATTTTCTTGGATGATGTTGACTACCTTGCATTCAAACATATTCATTGTATTCATCTCATTCGATGCACCGCTTTGCATAATCCCTTACGCCGCATTGCATCATACAGATCGCAAACCGAGAACCCAACACATACCCGAGGAGCCCGAGGAGCAGCTCGAGGTGCAGCAGCAGGAAGTGCCGTGGTTTACGACGAGGAGGACGTTGAGGAACTTCCGGAGTGCCCCGATCACCGTCCGAGCTCCTTCGAGAGAGGCAAGCCCCTGAGCATCTTTCTCCCGTTTGCAATGATTTCATTAAATACTTTACTTAAATTGATGCATTACGTTCAGTAGTTGTTTGCAACCGTTGTCGCATTATACCTTGTTTACCTTTGTTATACTATATCCTTGTTACCCCGGTATCCGCAATCAGTCAATGCTTAGTGGCTTAGACCGGTAGAAGTCGGGTGATTTCTGTCACCGCGAGCTATAGGTGGTTACCGGATCTGCTTGGATGGCTATGAAGTCATGGTATAACTAAGTGTTAAATGAAGTTGAGACCGGGCGAGACTTGCGTAGTTTTGGACCGTAGTGTTTCCGTCAGTAATTATTAAGGACCGACCGTTGTTGGGCCTCGAGTCATATTGAACGATGCCTTACATTTAGCTGGCCGGATAAAGTACCTTCCGACCGCTGGTCGGGAGATTTTTCGGCCGAGTAGATTGCCCGCAGCGCCTTGTGTTTGAGCAGTGTGGTAGGACACGGGCGGGATGATAAGACCAAAGTGCGAATGGTCGGCCCCCGGTACATGTGGTTCCCGCAAACTCGAGATACCTAGAAAGTTGACTTCGGTGATCAATATCTCACTTTAGCGGGTGAGTGAGATTTGTGTAAGGAATAAATCACCACCGGTTAGGAATCGATTCAATCGCCATCGCCTCCCGGATAGTGAGCACTTGACTTGAGTGACTTCATCGTAGTAAATGTTTATGGAACACTTGGACAAATTATAGTGAATATGACAAGATGGAAGTTGTTTAATGATCAAGGTTATCATTAATTGCTTAATCACATGTTTACTCTAGTATAGATGCAAATCTAGTCGATAGGTTAATAATAATTAAGTTGACAATAATGCCTTTCAAAAGTTCTTGAAATGCTAAAAATGCTTCTTTCTCGCAAATGAGTCACTACCCTACTATAGAGCCTTCATAATCCTTGGTGTCATTTATTTTCGGTTATGTCGGGTAAAATCCATTTGAGTACCTTCTCGTACTCGTGGTTTTATTCCCACTTGTTGCGAGATGGGCGTATGTATTACGGCTATTGTATCAACCGCCTTTATCCTGCGATGGGTGATGCTTAGGACCATGGGCATGGTCATTCCTTACGTCTCATCTAATGCTTTTGTTGGAGATGATCATTCGCTGGCACTATATTTAAACTCTGCGTGAGTGTGTGTGGTTTGAACAAATGACTTCCGCTACTTTTATTCGAACTGGTTTGTAATAACTATGTTTAAACTCTGATGTATCTGAGATTGCGAACTTTTATGTAATATGTGATGGTGACCGCTAAACTTATTACGATCATGGCTGGGACACGAGTTGGTTTGAAATCCTTCGCGATTTCACGGACTACCGGGTTATACGGACTTAAGTTTGCTAAATCGTCTGCTCTGGCGGATGATTTTCTTACTTAATTTCGTATAATTGGTCGGTTCTGTTACACGCACCGTCGACGCGACCATACCGACGTTGGCTACACTCCCATTGTGTTGCCAACAAATCCGAAGAGACAGAGGCGTCCGAGGGATCCTTACACTCCTGGGTCTTAGTTTGTTAGGTCAAACGAATATTGGCGTCCGAAACTTGCGGGGTTATTTGGTTATGTTATGTCAAACTTATGTCAAACCAATAAAAATGTTATGTGGCAGCTTGTCAACTTGCGCACGGACTTCATTTATTTGCTTCATATTCGTTTCTATGCGTCGCGGCAGCACTGCCGGCGAGATTAAGTAGCAACTAGTTCGGGAACCGGCAGTCCTGTCGTATCTCGACGCCGGTGGCCAGCGTCTTGCGCGAGGGGTCGAGGAAGCCGAGGTCCATGGTCACGTCGCCGCTGATCCTACAATATGGGGCCAAAAATCCAAGAAATAAGTTTCCTTAAAATATTATTCGTTTCAATCCGATCCAATTTTTCGTAATCGATTAGTCAACATGGTGGTTAACCGTATTATGAAAGACGGAAAAAATCATTGTCTTATCAAATTCTCTATTCGACCGTGAAACTAATTCAACACAAGACAGAAACAAATCCACTATTGATTTTACGTCAAGCAATACTTAGAATAACTCCCACTATCGGCGCGACACGCTCCAATTAAACCATCCAGGTACCGCCGGGCAGGTGGCGGGCGCGGCGGCCAGGCGGGCTTGCTGCTTGGGCCGGCGGGGTTTTATTCGGCTCTGCCGCGCCACGGATCAAGGCGCAATAGCGCAGCAAGCCCTGCCTCGTCAGCGGTCAGCGATTCCGGTCGCCGCCACGTCAGCCCTGTGCCGCGTCACCATACATGGCGCGGCACAAGCATTTGACCGCGCCAGGACAATAGGCGCGGCCAAAAGTGTTAGTTTAAAAAAAACCGACCGTGTTAGATTTAAAATTAGTTTCCAAAAAATATTAAAATTAAAAAAAAATCAACTCAGCTATGCAACCTTTATGCTGCGCCGCGGCAAGCGCGACGCTGCGGTTTGGTCGATTGTGACTGATGACGGGTAACAACTCGTCGTGACTCTGGCTGTATCTGTCTGTGTAAACGACTAAACGGTGTGCCTGCTATATATGCTCATGGCAGAGCAGGCGAAAGCACATATTTTTTATTTTATTTTATCACACATACATTCGAGAGGGGAGAGACTGGCTCTTACGGACGCATCATCAATGGCAGGTGACATCAGGTTTGGTAGATGTTGCATCCATTTCTTGATTCAGATTGACAGCTTTGGCCTGTCAGGCTGTGGAAGATTTCGATTTCTCTTGCCGGCTTTCGCCCCCTCCCCATTCATGCCGACGCCGATGCCGGAAAGCCGATGCGCTCTTTTGCCCTGCTGCGTTGCGTAGCATCACTTCTGTTTGGTGCTTTACAAGTGCAACCACCACAGATTACCATCAGAAACCAGCACCCAAATCGATTGCCTGTTCGCTTGGCTGATAAGTCATGACTAAAAGTACTAATGACTGTTTCGTTGTGAGAGAAAAATATTGTTCGTTAGCTGAAAAAGTACGACTTATAAGCCAAGTGAACAGGACGAACAATTGGAGGTACAACTGTTTAAGAGACAAAGAAATTGTAGAAAAAATAAACAAGATTACCAGTAGTATTACTTCCTTCCTTGCTACTGTAGCAGTAGTGATGAGTAGCTTCTCCCCTCCTCTCACGTCTCACCTGCTCCGCTACTGATTGCTTATTATTTTATGTCTAATAATCTGACGTGAAACCTCATTACAATTGCAGGCTCTGAAAAATGTTACTAAAAAAATCTGTTCGTCGCTTTTCTACTTGTACTCGACAAGGATACACCACCGTCTCGAAGAAAAGATGTTGCAGATCAGCTGCCTGGAGCTCAAATGATTGTCGTTTAACGTATCAATCACGACGGGGAAAACCACACCGTGAACAGTGAAACACCAAAGTTTTTTTTTTCTTTTCATTCCTTTTGAGATTTGACTGCAGAGCAAAACCGAGAGGTCTCCAGTGTATCCGTGATATATATATATATATACCACAGTCAGTTACCACCTCACACCGTCGCAGTCTCGGCAGACGGATGAAATATCACGGTTACACTGGAGCAGTTCTTTTTAATTTAAGGGACGGAATTAAAGCTACTGGTACTAATAATAGTACTAATGGTAATAATGGAGGGAAGAAAAACTTGTGGCTTCTTGATGCTGCCTTGTGTGGAACTGTGGACGATCACGCCCTCCTGTTCCTCCCGCCACCGCCGCCGCGGGTGCTATTCCGGCTGTGATCGTCGTCGTCCTCCCTGCTGACGTTGATGCTGCTGCTGCTGTTGCGGGCTGCGGCGGGGTGCAGGAAGTCGAGGAGGACGGGGCTGCGGCACCGGGGGCAGCGCGGGTCGGCCTCGGAGAGCATCACGTACATGAGGCAGCGCGGGCAGGCCGCCAGCACCATGGACGTCGCCTCCGGGCTGTCCGACCACTGCAGCCCGTGGCTCTGCTGCCTCTGCTGCGGCGGCTCCCGCTCGCCCTCCGACGACAGACACGAGCTCGGCGACGACGACCACTCTTCGTCGGAGGACAACGACGCCGGCGCCGGCGGAGACAGGTGCAGCTTCAGGTCCAGGCCCCCGCGCGCCCTCCCTGCTTTGCTGCCCCGGCTCATCACGTATTCACGTACGCTCTGTCGCTGCCTGCCTGCTATCCATGAAGCTTGAGCAAGTTAGGGCATGTTTAGTTCCCAAAATTTTTCACCCTAAAATATCACATCGAATTTTGCGACACATATACAGAGTGTTAAATATAGACGAAAAAAAACTAATTGCACAGTTGGGTGAGAAATCGCGAGACGAAACTTTCGAACCTAATTAGTCCATAATTAGACACTAATTACCAAATACAAACGAAAGTGCTACCGTAGCCAAACAGTAGCCAAACCCAAAAAATTTGGGAACTAAATGCACCCTTAATCACTGATGATCCATCATACTGCTGCTAGTAATGATAGTATTAATTGCACAAAGAGAGCGCTTACTGTCTCGTCTCGTGGTGGTCTGCAGCAGCTGCTGCAGGAGTGCTCTGCTCTGAGCCTCTGACTATGAGGATGCTTCCTTTCCTCGGAGGCAGAGGAGTGGTGGTGCGTGTGGACTGTGGCGTGGAAGAAGAGATGGCATGGCAGCAAGTATTTATAGGGGAAATGGAAATGGCCAGTGGGAGGGAAGGGAGCCATGGAGGCCAATTGCTTTTCTTAAATGCTGCACTGTGGAGTGGAGGAGTACTTGCATCCTTTAATTGAGGCCCCGTTTAGATGCGAAATTTTTTGACTTTTGGCTACTGTAGCACTTTCGTTTATATTTGGCAAAAATTATCTAATTATAGACTATTTAGGCTTAAAAGATTCGTCTCGTCAATTACGGGCAAACTGTGCAATTAGTTATTCTTTTTACCTATATTTAATGCTTCATGTATGTGCCGCAAGATTTGATGTGACGAAGAATCTTGAAAAATTTTAGATTTTAGGTGGGATCTAAACAGGCCTGCCCATATTATACTCCACCCTAAACACACTCACTTCATGGCTCACATTCATGTTTCTGTTTTATGGAATGGAGAGGTGGTGGCGGCAGCGGGCAGCCTGGCACTGGCAACTGGCAGGGCCGCCGCAGAGGCGACTTGAAAGTGATCGGAGAAGCAACAATCGTCGATCGAGCTCGGTGGCAGACGAGGAGGGTTCGGTTCGGTTCATGGTGGTGGAAAACGACCTGAAGAAGGGGACGGCCACGGCGCGCCTTGAGAGAGACACAGGTAGGTTGGTCTCCACCTTAGCTTGGGATGGGTCGCTGTTCCAGTCGTGGCCAAGAACGAAGATCTCTCAGTCTCAGGTAAGTCAGTCAGGTGCCTCGAATGGAGCGATGGCCAAGTCTTTCACCGGGAGCTGATTAGTGATTAGGACACCGTTATACTGCTAGTCAGTCAGGTGCCTATCCAAACGGGTAGATGGACACGGTAGACTAAGGGGTTGTTTGGTTCCGGAATTCCTAAAATTTCTATGACATTGAATATTTGACACATATATGGAATATTAAATATAAACTAATTACGAAACTAATTGTATAACTTGCGACTAATTTGCGAGACGAATCTTCTAAGCCTAATTAGTCTATGATTTGACAACGTGGTGCTACAGTAAACATGTGCTAATGACAGATTAATTAGGCTTAAAAAATCGTCTCGAAAATTAGCCTCCATCTATGTAATTGGTTTTATAATTAATCTATATTTAATGCTCCTTATTAGTATCTAAACATTCAATGTGACATAAATTTTAGGAGCGACTAAAGAACCAAATACCCTCTAATTTTTAGTTCGGTCGTCTAACCTCTCAGTAGTTTCTATGTCGGAGCGACTGACGTCCGAACGGGAGCGACTGGCGCCCGAACTTCCGGACCCGGTGTCTATCTAAACCCTGCACCTGCGCCCGTGCCCGACGCATGTCTAGACCCGCGCCCATCCATTCTCCGGAGGTAGCGTCCGTTCAGACGGAGCTTCCCGCTCCTACGCCCGACGCACACAGCATGGAGGCCCGTGTCCCATCCCCACCCGATGCGCCGCGCTCGTGTCCATCCCGCTCCACATCCCGACCGATCTGCCGCGGCATTCCGTCCCTGCCGCTCTTGTGTTCGTGGCCTCCATTTTCATGTACACTAGGGAGCGGACTACCAAGGGCTTAGACTTCCTCCACACCTACATTCATGTCTACTTTTACAACACTCAGATGAAACAATTGCAACATACGTCCGAAACAGATATAACATTCGGAACATACACTTGCAACATAGTCATTTGCTACATATGCAACATCCAGATAAAAATACTTGCAACATAGGTATAAAAATAGATGAAACACTTGAAACATGCGTGTATAACCATAACAATATATGCAACATCCAAATCTACTTTTACAACATCTAGATGAAACACATGCCATATAAGTATAAAAACATCTGAACATTTGAAACATACACTTGAAACATGCGTGTATAGCCATAGCAACATATGCAAAACCCAGATGAAATACTTGAAACATACGTCTGAAACAACTGAAACACTTAAAACATAGGCTTGCAATATTTCTAAAAACACCTAAAATACTTGAAGCACGGCTTCACCGGTGGTCACTGCCTACCTGTTGGGGGAACCACGGTGGCACAGGCCTCCCCTCCCCTGCCTCCCCTTCCCTGATAGGCGAGGTGGATTAGGGCCCGAGCGGGAGCGAGCAATGACGCGTGGGCGGGCGAGGCGCGGGGCGCACGGACCCAGCGGCGTTGGTGAGACGCGCGGAGCAGTCCGTCCGGACGAGACGGACACCCGGGTATCATTATCGTTTCTATATTCAAACAAGACTAAACTTTAGTTGTCTAAATTTTCACATAAACTGTTTAGCTGGACTAACAACTAGTCCAGTTGACCAAACAGGTCCAGTTGACTAACAACTAGCGCCCTATTTGTTTGGGCTGGTTTGACTTATAAGTCATGATTGAAAGTACTGTTGGCTTGTTTAGTGTGAGAGAAAAATATTATTTATTGGCTGATAAGTCATGGCTTATAAGCCAAATATGACAAAGCGAACAGGCTTTAGACTCTCTTGCTCTTGCGGCCTTGTCATAGTGTTTGTTTTTTTTGTTTGAGAGAAGTACCATGATGATCATTATCACATCCTAGCTTTGGGCATAATTTATCTTGTTTAATTCGATGATCAGAGTAGAGAAGTACTCAAAAGATCATCAGCCTGTTCGGTTGGCTTGTTCGTTTCGTTGCTGGTTCGTGAAGAAGTACTGCTGGCTAGTTTGTGTGAGAGAAAAATACTGTTCCGGCTAAAAATTTACGATAGTTTACGACAAGCCACAGTCAAACGAACAGTTTTTTTTTAATTCCACTGCAGCGGTTGCTGCTACGACTCCACCTCCTTTTGATCGCTTCGAAGCATTGCGCGCAGTCTGGCTATGATCGCTTCCACAACTTGAATGAGGCCATCAATAGGATTTATGGGCTACAGTGTTCTCCAATGCATCAAAGTAAATGTACTTGAACGATAGATGGAGCAACTCTTAAGTATAGTCCCAATCCAAAAACTATAAGACGATTTCTACACTTGTCAAATCATCTAGCTAGATAGTACTACACATAGAAACCATATTTCTAATGGATAGTTCCTCTAAAATAATTTTTCATTCAATCATATGTCTTATCGCTCCATTGGCCCTGTTTGGCTTGCTGAAACTTGGCTGAATTGACTGAAAACACTGTTCTGGCTAAATTGTTGTGAGAGAAAAATACTGTTCCAGCTGAAAAAACAAGCTGAGAAGTGCGGATTATAAAGTAAGCCGAACGGGACCATTATTATCTATCATTATATCTCTTCATATCTTGGTTTCATACCGACATAGTTTTTATCTAAGAAATCATTTACTACTCTCTTTTTTAATTATAGCGCATATCACAATTTTGATTAGTTGTTCTCTAATTAATAAATATATAGAAATCATCCAAAGTTCTAGATCGGGAGTGTCCTGATTAAGCGACGGATGGGATGAGATGGCCTAGCAGAGCAGCCTGTAGCTAGTTCTTCAATTCAATACGCTCACTCGTCTCGGCTGCCGCTCCACTAATTCTCATCCATGCGCTGCGGTTTTATAAATGGCGCGACATAAAGCATGCGTGCCCGTGCACCGCAGCCTATGCTACTCTCTCATGATGCTATTGCTACATCAGAGTAGCTTCTAAATTTTGCTCCAAATAACAATTCTACGGTTTTAAAGTTTTCACTTACGGTAGTTCCAATAATGTTAAAAGAGCTAGCTCATAGAATACATTTTATTGAATAAAAAGAGAGAATGATAAAATAGCTTTTCATGATTCATGTGTTTTTGCTTATACATTTTTTCTATACAAACATGTTAGGTTACTCTATTTTTATTTTAAAGTTTATGTAAGTTAGCAAATTGACTATTGTTAAGGGTGCTCTTAGAGAACAAGTTCTTCAAAGTCCAAACAATACCTTAAACAGAAGTGACAATAATACCGTTGCTAGGTACATGCACAAAATTGTATTTGTAATCCCATTTCTAGAAATTAAAACTATTTTTGTTCAAATTTTGCAAGTGATATTGTTATATTAATATACTTAATTATAAACGGTATGGTATAAATAAAAAACAATATGCACAGTCCTTTAAACAAAATAGAAACATGTCCCGTCAAGCAATATGTTTAAATATCTACTGATATTTTTTTCATGATAATTGCCACTACTACATAAACGGTTTATAGAGACAACTGCATTTTTTAGGCAAAGATGGCTCAATTCCCATCCACCTCTAATGTGACCTCCATAGGGACCCGCTAACTCTGTTGCCTCTGAAAAGGAACATTTCAAGAGGTGACTGGGAATCCTAGTCAGCCTCTACAAAAGGGCTATTTCAAGTGACGGCTTGAATTCTTAGCCGCTTCTAAAACACCATTTGTAGAGCCGTCTCTACTATTATGAGCCTAGTGTATAAGTAGCCTCTCTTCATTCTCCTTGGGACATAACTGTAGCCTGAAGAGGAAAAGCAAAGGGGCGGGGTGTTGGACAACTTCTCCAAAATTGCAAATACAAGGGGAAAG